TAAAATGGTCGTAACTTGAAAAATTGAAGTCTAAATCAGCTCAAACTTTCTACAGAGCATAAGGACATCAATATGTACCAGTAAAGGTAATAAAAATTTGGAGTGATTATTTGGCCATTTTTGGAAAAAAACATGGACAATCGCCTGTTAAAAAGGGAACTGAGCCTTTAAATTTTTTATCATAAATAACAGAGGAGAAAAAATGAACAAAAAAGGAAACAAGATTGAATAGGAAATAATTGTTGACAAAGTTATAATAATAATAAATTAAAAGTTAAAGCGGGCATCAGCAATGGCCCTTGAAAAATCAATTGAGTTCACAAAATGAGCCTTTGACCGAGATCCTCGTAGACAGCGTATTGCAGATGGACTATAGCCTTGGGTATTTTTCAGAATTTTGGCGTTTTCTTAAAACGGCCATAACTTGAAAAATTGAAGTCGGAATCACCTCAAACTTTCTACACAGCATAAGGACATCAATATGCATTAGAAAATATAATAAGAATTTGGGGTGATTTTTTGGCCATTTTTAGGAAAAAACCATGGGCTATATATAGCCTTGGGTAATTTGAGAATTTTGGAGTTTTCTTAAAACGGCTGTAACTTAAAAAATTGAAGTCGGAGTCACCTCAAACTTTCTACACAGCATAAGGACATCAATATGCATTAGAAAATATAATAAGAATTTGGGGTGATTTTTTGGCCATTTTTTGGAAAAAACCATGGGCTATATATAGCCTTGGGTAATTTGAGAATTTTGGAGTTTTCTTAAAACGGCTGTAACTTAAAAAATTGAAGTCGAAATCACCTCAAACTTACTACACAGCATAAGGACATCAATATGTATCAGATAATGTAATAAAAATCTGGGCTAATTTCAGAGCCATTTTTTGGAAAAAACCCATGGGCTATAGCCTTAGGTATTTTTCAGAATTTGGCATTTTCTTAAAATGGCTGTAACTTGAAAAAATGAAGTCGGAATCACCTTAAATTTTCTACATAGCATAAGGACATTAATATGTATCAGTAAATGTAATAAAAATTGGGCTGATTTTTTGGGAAAAACCATGGGCTATAGCCTTGGGTAATTTTGAGAATTTTGGCGTTTTCTTAAAACGGCCGTAACTTGAAAAATTGAAGTCGGAATGACCTCAAACTTTCTACACAGCATAAAAACATCAATATGTATCAGATAATGTAATAAAAATTTGGGGTGACTTTTTGGCCATTGTTTTGAAAAAAAACCATGGACTATAGCCTTGGGTATTTTTCAGAATTTTGGCGTTTTCTTGAAATGGCTGTAACTTGAAAAACTGAAGTCAGAATCAGCTCAGATTTTCTACACAGCATCAGGACATCAATATGTATCAGATAATGTAATAAAATTTGGGACAACTTTTAGCCATTTTTTTGGAAAAACCATAGCCTTGGGTATTTTTCAGAATTTTGGTGTTTTCTTGAAATGGCCGTAACTTGATAAATTGAAGTCGGAATCAGCTCAAATTTTCTACATTTTGATAGTCAACACCTCTGCGTTTCAAACCGAGTTCTTTGTATTGCTTCTTCAACCATGAAATGCTTTATTATTAGAGCTAGACGATGAAATGAGTAACAAGTGGAGTACTGACCTCCTTTTCATCCCGAATTTGACTTTCAATTTCATTAAAATAACACGATATGATTTCCATGAGTAGAATTCCTTTATCAAAAAATCTGGATAAAAATATATAACAAAATAATGGCAATTATGGCACCAGCCCAACCATTGAGTACAGATCTAGAAGCTCCTCTCGCAGACATATTTAGGACACCCAACACCAATAGTCACGTACTCAGCGGTACTGCCGAGGTACCGATCGGTGGCCGATCGGCAAAACACTGCCGCGTCGGGTGACTCATTGGGCCACCATAGCTAGCCTCACTAGTTTGTTCCTGATCTGTTAAGGTCCTTTTCTCCTCTTCTAGCTGGCAAAGAAAAGGAGGAGGAGAGGCTCAAGAGATTATGGCAGCGAGCAAACCTCCCGTGAACAAGTTATACAACTCAATCCTCGACACTGTCCTGGTGTACGGGTTGGACGAGCACACAAGAGGATTGAATATTGACCAACAAGGAGTAAGCAC